ATAGCCTATAAAAACATAATTAACTGTTTTAGGTCCAAGCTTTCGTTTTTTATTCTTTCGAACACTCACTTTAATTAGACACCCCCACACTTTAAGGTATCTTAAATTTGGTTTTCTACCTTTCCACAATTCATAAGGAGTCTCATCATAATTTTTATAAGGTACACGATTTAATATATAGCATGCTGAAAACAAAGCTTCACCCCATAAATTATTTGTTAAACTGAAACTAGAAAGCATCACATTTACCATGTCTAATAATGTCCTATTTTTCCTTTCTGCTACTCCATTAGATTGAGGTGAGAATGACAATGTTTCTTGATGAATAATTCCATGATTTTCAAAATATTCTACCATGTCAATAGGTTTATATTCACCTCATCTATCTGACCTTAATATTTTTATTTTCTTCTCTTGTTGATTTACTACTTCTGATTTATAAATTTTAAAATTTTCAAATACTTCATCATTTGTCCTTAATAAATATATATAACAATATTTTGAATAATCATCTATAAAAGTTACAAAATATCTTTTTCCACCACGTGTCAAGATATTATTTAAATCACAAACATCGCTATGAATCAATTCAAGCAATTTGGTTTCTCTAACTACCGATTTAAAAGGCTTTCTAGGTTGTTTTGCTTGAACACATATTTCACATTTTCCTTGAATTTTAATTTCAGATTTAGGGATTAGTTCTAAACTCAACATTCTTTTCATTGTATTATAATTTACATGGCCTAATCTTTCATGCCACACACTCGAAGCCACACACTCGAACTTTCAACTTGATAAACCATTAAGTAAGAACTTTTATTATCATTAGGATTAGAAACAATTACATTTAACTTAAAAAGGCCTTCACACAAAAACCCTTACCAACAAACAAGCCACTCTTACTAATTACAATTTTTTTAGACTCAAATACAACTCGATAGCCATGTTGAACTAGAAAGGATCCACCGACTAAATTTCTACTTATATCAGGCACATGCTTGATACCATCCAATGCAAGAGTCTTTCCCGAAGTAAACTTAAGATTAACATGTCCTTCTCCAAGCACACTAGTGATGCTACCATTGTCCATACTCACAGTTCTAGTGTCTGACTCCTGATAAGTGGAAAACAATGACTTATTAGAACACACATGAATATTAGCCCTAGAATCAATCCACCAATCATTTGTTTGATATATCGTATTCACTTCGGGACTATTTGAAATATACCTGTTACTAGGACCAGTCATTGAATCCCCTATAGTCACCACATTGACTTGAGACTTAGGAGTAGCTTGATGACCACGATCTCTATTCGGTTGACCCTTACGGTGGTAGCAAACTTTTGCATAATGATTGGTCTTCCCACATACCCAACAAGATTTTTGATATTTTTGATTTTTGTTCCCATATTGTTTATTGAAATTTGCATGCTTATGAAAATTTTTATTTTTGAAAATTTTGGGTTTTGGCTTAAAAGCTTGATTTTCTACTAGAAGTGCCTTATTTTGTTTTTCTACACTTGATTTATCTTTTTGAGTCTCTCTATGTTTTTTTTCAATTCAAAGTGAAATTAGCAACTCATCAAAAGAGAATCTTTGAGGCTTTTGTTTAAGCATTCTACCAAACTCAGACCAAGAAGGAGGTAATTTTTTAATTAACCCAGCAACAAGAAAATTTTCTTGAAAATTCATGCCTTTCATCTTTAATTCATGGACTATGTTTTGAAACTCATGGACTTGATCCATCACAAATTTTCCATCTATCATTTGAAAATCAAAGAATTTTTCAGTGTAATACCTCCCTAGTCTAGCATCTTCAGTACCATATTTTTTATCTAAAGTTTCCCAAAGTTCAAGTGCTGATTTAGTAGTGCAAAAAATATCATAGATAGGTTCAACAAGTGCACTAAGAATTCTGTCATGACACAGGTAGTCTTTTTCTATATCAGAAGTAGATTTTGTTGACTTTTCAGGGACTAAACTTGTACTAGTTCCATCAACAATAATTGTTTCATTAGTCTGGACTTGGGTATGTCTATTTTTCTCAGGTTGAGCAAGTTTTTCAAGCACAGAAATTAAACTCAAAATAGTCAACCAAAATTTCATTTGTTGTCATCTTCTAAAGTGTTGACCGTTGAACTTCTCAGGTTTACAAGAATTAGATTCAATAGTGCTCATATTTCAAACAAGAGAAATGGATAAACAAATTTTCCTACGTTATTCTAAACTTAATTGTTTCTCTTCTTAGATTGTTAGAAAATAAAACATAAAATCACAGATTCATAAATTAAATAAACATGCAAATATATCAAATAAACTCAATGGAACTTAGATCAAAAATAAGTTTAGAATAGCCTGGATTGAGGCGCGAGATGAACGCTGTCCTAAGAAGAGATACGTCCCCTCCGCACAGAGTGTTCTGACGTTCTTTTCCCAAGATACAACAATCTGAGAGAAGCTACGGTGTAGGCGTGAACCTCTGTATAACGAATTGATCTCACCCAAGTTGCTCACAAAACACACAAAAACTAGTAGAGAATGAAGGAGAATATGTATATGAAAGATGTTTTTCTATATCAAAGAAAGATGGATCACATGTCTATTTATATATTAATAGATAGCCATTATCCTTTTAAGGCTATATGAATATATAGGAAATGCTTGACTTCAACGGCTAGTCTTCATGTATTAACTCCAATGTGTATATATATATATATGTATTAATGATATATGTAGTTATTACATATAACTCTCCCTTAAGAATTTCAACAATAAAAAATTAAAATCATTTAAAATCATAATCATAAAATAAATGTGGGGCTGAATTTATTAATATGAATAAATGATAATAAAATTTAATTTTAAATCATATATACTAACAACACTGTCATAGAGTTTCTTGCTCCTTAACTTAACGTTTTCTATTACTTGGGGAAGAAGATAAAGATTATAGTGTTTTGAATTACAATTAGTGTGTAAATGGGTGATTGCCCATATATTTATACCCGCATGTGGGTGGTCCTTATGTCATCATCATATGGTTCCTAATTTGTTAGAATTTTGCTAGGAAAATATTTGACTGTTAAATGCTACATTATCTAGGTGTGATCTGACTTTTTAGAACACGATGATGTGGCATTGAGGCCCTTTCTAAGCCTGGATACGTTGTAATCTTCATGTTTATAAGAGTTCATACATACTACTTGAGTTGACATCTTATTCCTTTGGATAGCTGGTAGAAAAATGAGCTTGATCTATATTCCTGACTTGAACTAGAAATATTGAACTTCCTCATGAAGTGATATATAGACAATCCGGTCACCTTCATCCGAGGTCGTACGTGAATGACATGGACACTTTTACATAAAGCTGGAGAGACAGACCTCATTACTGAACCTTGCTGCAAACAAGAAATGGAGATATCATTTCACCTATTCTCAGTATTATTTCCGGTATCATTAGTGTCCATGACTGGGATGCCACACAAAGATATTAAGCATCTAGTTTGGCAAAGATGAGATCTACTTTGTGCTCAAGTGTTAGAACTCTTCAACTCCTCACAATTCCTTCCAAAAACTGGGGGGTGAGTGCACATCAACACCTGATGGGTTTGTTTCATCTTTATCTTTTTATCAAGCAGATTTTATTTTGAAAATGGGTCATAAAACTTCACTAAGGGAAATGTCAGTGGTCGAGCTCATGAGCTGCAAATTTTATGGTTTCATTTAAACTCCTTGATCACATAGACATGCCACTAAGTTCCTGTTAACAAGTAATTATAACAAAGAGTTTATCTATTTATTTAGCTCTTGAACTATATCATTTGTGTCCATTAAGTAATGTTAATTTAACTCTAAAGTATACAGTCTGACTTAACTAGTTATAACTTGTACCTGAAAGTACGATAAAATATAAAATTCGAGTGTTCAAAAAATTGATCATACTATATTAAATAATAATTTTTTTTTCATTTATTTGATTACATCATTTAAAATTTAATTTTATCCATTATTTTTTAAAAAATATCAACAAAAATATGTAAACCGATAAATTTTTTTAATGTATATACTATCGTATATGGATAATGTTTAAAACAAAAATTTATGTTAAACTAAAAATTATTCAAATATTAAATTATTAAACATGTAATAAAAATAGATGATGGAAAAATTTTGAGGAAAAAGTATATATAAAACAAAATTTCAAATACCTAACTGTTTTATTATATAAATGTAATCTTTCCATCCAAATTCGCCTTTAATTTTGACCGAAATTCTACAAAACACGTAATTCCTGAAATATAAACTAACCTTTAACTCACATAACATGCATATAAAATTTTTCGTCAAAGTTAATGACAAATTTTGACACAAGGGCCATGTTGAGTGAAATTTCATGGCTAGAGACTAAATTCATACCAAACATAATTTAAGGGCATATTGATACAAATGATATAATTCAAATGCCAAATAGATAGGTAACTAACTCATTATCAAAAGGTAGCACTAATTGACTAAGCTGCAAGACCATTAGATGAGTGGTTGGGAGTCGGAATAGTACGCAGTGATCAAAGGAAACAAAACACAAATCCCGTCAACTTTCTAGTTAAATTGTAACCTGCCAAAGGGTCCCTAAGTAAAGCATATAGCTTCAAAGGGCTTTCCCACTAGCTTCAGTCTTTCACATTTTTCACTACCGTCACCATTAATACACTGCTTCTTAGATAGGATGCAAAAATGGTATTAAAGGAAACAGGAATCCACAAAGGTAAACACAATTCATCCCAAACAAATATAGAGTATAGAAAGAGTCGAGAAAAACAATAGAAATTATCAGGAAGATTCATAGCACAAAAATTGTGTTCTCTTTCAAGACAAAATTCACTTCTAGCACAAACAAAACCTGAATACTAAGAAACTTAAATAATCAAGTTCTGATTGAAGGAAATTATAGGAGCTAAAAGACAAAATGGCAAGGAGGACATTTGCAAAACTTTCATCTAAGCTCCAACCACTTCAGTTGGTTCAGCCACTGGCTCCTCGGCAGGCCTCTCCAACTTTACACCAACATCTTCAGAATAATCACCATGGACCTACACAAAACCAAACCAAGTTACATAAAAGGACAAAAGGATAATTAAAGCTCAACCCCACATTAGCTCTAACCAGCCCCCTTAGATGAGAGTAAGAAACGAGGAAGCGTTTACAAAACACTTACCTCCATCAATTTGCCAAGGTCAAACTTGGGAGCCTTCAAGATCTTCACCTTCCGAATGAAAACATTTTGCAGAGGGTAGATGCTTGAAGTTGCCTTTTCAATCTCTCTGCCAATTGATTCTGGAATGAATTTCAGAACCAACTCCTTCAGATCACAAGATTGTGCTTGGTTAACCATGATCTCTCTCATCTTTCGGCGAATCTACAAAAAAAGCAAACATAGGAGCAGAGGGTTGATTATTACTTACACAGAAATTTAAAAGCACAAAACAATAACCGAGCATTCGTACAACTTCNAGGATTGATTATTACTTACACAGAAATTTAAAAGCACAAAACAATAACCGAGCATTCATACAACTTAAAAAACAGACCATCATCACAAGCATTGGTTGACCCCAATTCATAAAGCAATGGCATTGGCAACAAAATTTGTCTGACACAAATCTAAATTACAAATCAAGTACATACTTGAAGCAAATTTTTATATCTTTAAAGTTTAACAAAAGATAACCGAAAGGATCAATCCACAGGCAAAAAATACGAATCTAGAATGTCATGATAATTTACCTGGCGTATCTGGCTAGATTGTGCGTAACAGGTCCTCTTCTGCTGGTTTGCACGCTTCTTAGTAAAGCCAATGCAGAATATCCTCAAACTGTAGTTGTCAGTTGTCTTCACGTCAACATGAGCCTCAATCAATGATTGCCATTTTCGCACTAGTGACCTCAACTTATCCGTTGTAAAATCCATTCCCTACAATTTACAGAACAAAATTAAAAAGAAAAAGGAAAAAGAAGGCAGAGCAGCAATTAAATAGTTATGATGCTCATAGAAAGAGAGAAACAATGAAATAGATAATAAGATGGTTGGGCTTTGAGTATACCCAGAAGTTTGTCAGAACATTCTTCCCTTGAACATCCTCAGCTCTCAATCGGATCTTACGGTAGGCATGGTCCTCATCGCCTTGAAGGTCAGCCAAGGATACCTCAAACACACGGTGCTTAAGTCCTTCTGAAGCAATCTGATAGAAAACATGAACACATTTATGAATTGAGAGGAATAATTGTTTCATGGGGTATACACACATAACATTTACTTAAAAAGGTATATGGAGAGGATTCCTAACTCCATGCAGTGCAATCTATAAACTTCACAGCATAAAACTTTAAAGATTTTGAAAATATAAAACAAACGAACAAATTGTAGTTCATCCTCTTCATGATACTTTTGTGGGTGAAACATGGTCAAAATATATAAAAGTCTGATGATGATGAGTTTAAAGTTGCAAATGCCACAAGGCAAGCTCCAAAAACACTATACAAGCTGAGAGCACATGCCTTTAAGGAGACCCACTTTATCATGCAAGCCATTCTCTAAGGTGAGCCTTGAGCAATGGCTCACGAATACTGGTATGAAAACTTTAGACTAGTGCATGACAGTGTAAGCTATACAAAAGTCTATGTTGAACAGCAACCTATGTACACCAGATCACATAGCTTACAACAGACAAATAACTTAAGGAACAAACTACAGAGAACAGATAGGTGCATCTTGAATGCTGCTGATTACTCGTCAATCACTTTCACCATGTTGACACAATTGGATATAGATAGAGTTCATCTTCTAAATCATCAACCATGTGAGTAATGTAATGAAAGATATCATAACATCTAATTGAACGCAGAATTCTTCTTTGAATTAAAACTGTTATAAGTGAAATGGAAAGGAGTAAACAAACATACAGTAAAACCATATAATTATGCACCTAAAAACAACAAGAATAAAAAAAACTAACTAATCAAACACTCTGAATAAGAGTGTTTCGTGCCAAGAAACAAGCTTAATGCATCTAGTCCACAGCTACACAGATCTAATCCAACTTAAATGCTAAACAGGTCAACACATTTTCTCCACGGATATATCAAACAGCAATAAAAATAACAGAAGTAAT